ATACAGGAATTTATACATCTGACATTTTTTTACTCGCTCCAATTTATATCTTTTGTACTTTATATCTAGTAATTAATTTCATCATGGGGTTTATGAACTCCTATCCTGCCTCTAAACTACCCTTCCTTCAATCCTTCCATAGTTATTTCGGCGTAATGCCGCCTTTCTTTATAGCTTTTTACTTAGTTTGTACACTAGATCCATATTATACGAGTTATTTATAGACAAAGTATATTTTCCCAATGTCGTATATAGCCAATTGCTTGGCATATACGTATATTGCATTATAATGTAATTGATTATTATCAATGAAAAATTTATAATCTGTATTTTATATTACTTGTAAACAAACAAATAACTTATCTATCATAACATGTACACTGTTCAACACAATTTCTTATTATTTATAAATATGTCAATTTATCCATTGTTAAATATGGTATTTCAATATAATAATCATGTAATGTATAATCATGTCTTGTACATTATCACGTTACATGGTATCCTTGAACTAGCCTGCCGTTCCGCTGCCTTAAAGAAGTTTTAATAACCTAGCGTGATTTCTACTGTATAAATTAAGCACTACCAAAGGTATTCGTGAACAGGCTTGCCATTCCGTTGCCATTGAGCATATTACTAGATACCAACCAGACTGTACTTTATTACATCTCAGCAAAGAAATATTACGTTTATTATATTTATATCTACTTGTCTTTGTTGTTTATTTGGGACCAAATATCCAACCTTGGTTAAAATATCCATACAATCTATACAAACATTTTTACCATATATAATTTATTTATGTTATTTTAAATTATAACACCGAGGTCCGTCATTAAGAGTTACTATATTTTAGGAATATTAAATCAACCCTTTATAACTCGACGTTCAAAGGCTTCTTTATCTATTTTTCAAACAAAAAATGTAGAAAATTGAAGATTTTGGCAATATAATTTAAATTTCTTTTTATAGAACAATGTTCTTTCTCTTCAAGGAAATTTATCATGTTACCAAAAACTTTTTTTTTCAGTAGTAATTTAAAAACGGTAGCACAGTGGGGTTGCGGCAAAGTGTGGCATAGTTGAGATAAGTATAGATAATATATTAAAAAATTTTATTTTATAATATCAATTCAAACTTGCAAGTTTGACATTTTTAAATTATAAATTTTCATAAATATCAAATTTTAAGGACCAAAAAAATAGATTACACGTGACATTTTGAATCGAAATAATGTTGCATGGATTATTTTTAACATACTAAAAATGTAAATAATTTTTTTTATAAATTAGAAATAATCTTAAAAAAAGAGGCGATTGAAATTAATCGAATTGCAGATTTGAAATCAGTGTAAAAAAATGGTTAAGACAAGTATTTTGGTTAATGCTGAATAAAAAAATTTTCATTTTAGTGATATAATTTTACTGTGTAATTTAGTATAAAAACAAATTTTTTTGTGGGGGCTTAATAATTTCATTTTATTTTTCAGATTGAGTTTTTACCAGTTGTTGCTGTATATCTACTAATTTTAAAAGTTCTTTCTCTAATTTTTTAAATCTCCTCATACATTACTTTGTTAAAAAGAGGAATAATAAAAATGTTATAATAAAAAACCTAATCTAAGAATAGAATTTTGTATGAATAAATAACATTTAAGTCTTACCTCAACTATGTATTTAATAATATATTTTAAAACAAAAAATATTAACAAGACTATCGCGAAATATTTTTGGTCTGATATCAAATAATATATATTATATAACATAGTGACCAAAATTAAAACAGTTTATTTTTATTAAAAGTTATTTTTTCGATATTTTAAAAATAATCGATATCGTGGGAAAAATGAAAAAAGTCGGCGATATCGATAACGACAAATCGAACTATCCATATCGTTGACAAACTCTGTTATATAACGGAACAATCGTTGAATTTTATATTTATCAGTTCTTTGTCGTTAACTGCGCGGCAAAAAAATCGTGATAAAACGGTTACGAATATCAATATCTTGCGACCTGTAGGAAAATCAATGGTTCAGTATGACATATTTATTGTTTACTCAATTAATCGAAAAACGTTAGTTTTAAAATATATTGTCCAAAATAAATAAAATTTTAGACGACAAGGAGTACAATTTTAATAGACTGCCCAGTAATTTAGATTTCTAATTTAGTTTATTTTAAGTTTACAGTCATTAATTCAGTGGCAGTGGATCGATCATGGATTTTTAGTTTATAAAAATATTTTAACAGATTGTTGTCGATTTTTCAAATTTTGAAATATAAGCAAAATTATTATCAACCAATGTAATTTGGATATTTAAAATTTATAATAAACGACCATATAATGTATATAACATAACAATTTAGTTTTTATTTATACATTATTTTTAATCTTTACATGCAAACTAACAGAATCTAGCAATAAATTATTAGCAATAATATTTAGTAAAAATTGTAATATGATCGAGCTATTTCAGCTATAGCAATAAAACGATCGGTTCAATGAAATTTTTACTTATTACTTTTATATTGTAAAATTTAATTTTAAACAAATGTTGTGTGAAATATTAGATTGTATCACATATGGTTCGCCAGATATGATGAAATATTCGTAAATATGTAAATTTCGACAATTTTACGAAATATTACGTATTTTAACATTTTTCTGTAAAACTAATGAATTTAGAAGAAAAACTGTTAGAACTTAATTTATACAAAACAATTAGATTTACAATTTAGTTATCATAATTTTTTTTGTGAGAACGCTAATTTATGAGTTAATTGCTGAAAACTATAAAACTACCCTTTTTGGCCAATTTTCAACCTCAAGTTACAACTGTTTAAACTTATCTGATCGGCCTGAAATTTTTTGTAGCCATTTTTTATATATATACACGCAAATTTGGCAGGTGAGCATGTAAAATTTCCAAAATTTTAAATATAGGGATATCCTAGTATTTATCATACCTTTTTTCGAAGATCTAAAGTCTTCGACACAATTTCTACATATTTTACGTTGTATCCACGATTTGTTTTGATTCCTAAATAAATTTTTCAAAATATTCATGTTTGCACTTTTTACAAAACAGTGATATTTTGAATTTGTTTTTCCACTATAAACTCACTATAAATATAAAAAAAATTATCAAAAATGTTAACACATCGTCTTTCTTCTTTAAAATATGATTAAAAAATAATTTTGTTATAAAATATAAAAAAAACACTTGTTTAAGATATTGTGTACTGTAGTTATGCTTCTATGTCTTTAATATTAAAATTATTAAAGAATTACTAGGTACCTATTTTTATCATATACAATAATTGACAATCCCTCCTAAAGTATAACATAAAAGCGTTTACCGTTATACAGAGTGGCCCACCACTCACTGACAACTTAAATAACTTTTGATCCAGTTAATATTTTTAGCTGATTTTTTTTTTAAATNATACAATGTATTATTAATACATGGTATGATTAGTATATTATTAAAAACAATATCGATATTATTATTTGGTAGGTACATTAAGCAGGGCCGTATTTAGGGGGTGGCACGGGTAGGCATATGCCCGGGGGCGGCAAAATATTTTAGCAAAATTAATTTTAAAAATGTAATAAAAAAAAAAATAATTGCATTTCATTTAATATTTTTTTAATTTGTATTTTAGAAAAATGTTATGAACTAATGTTTATGTAGCTGTATTATTGCTACGAACTAAGATATGTAGTATATATATAGTATAATCTTGATCCGTGAAAATGATGAAATAGTTGCTTTAGAAGAAGTTGATTTGCCTAGTGATTTAGAATTCAAAGTCAATATATATTATGTAATTTGTGACTCTATAATTAATGAATTGACAACTAGAAAGTTAGCATATGATAATGTAATAACTAAGTACAGTTTCTTTTTAAACTTGATACAATGAAAACATCAGAAGTATATATATCAGCTGAAAATTTACATTTGATATACAAAAGTGATTTAGATAAAACTTTTGTAAATGAGTGTATCCATTTCCAAAGTCATCTACAAAATATAATTTAATATATATTATTATTATTACAAAATATATTATTATTTATTGTGGTGATGAGGAAGGGGTATAAATTATATGCCCGAGGGCGCCAAATTTTTTAATACGGGTCTGACATTAAGTGAATAAAAATGGAAAATATAGTACTTTACTTAATATAGCAAAGACATTATCGATAAAAGTTATTCATAAACTACTCAGTACATTGACGTGTATAAAGTATAAATCAAATATCTAAGCGTAATCAACGAATCGTTTGGGAAACTTTTTTTTTATAATTATATAAAAAGTTAATTATACAACTGTCATATGTAAAATCTGATAATACAATTATATTTATCGTTAAATAATATTTATGATTGTTTTATATCATTATTTTAATTACTTCAAAATAAAAAAAGACTGAAAAAGATATATAAAGAACAATATTTGTTTGTGAATTTTCCAGTATTTTTTATATCAACAGCAATTTTTACGCTGTGTATTTACTCAAACTGTACAACAAAATAATATTATTTAAATCCTTATAAAATTATCTATTTATTAGTTAAAATTTCATAACTGTAGCTTAACCAAAAAAAGGTAAACACGAAACGTCTGCTTTTTTTTTGAAAAACAATACTCGATCTGAATTTAAGGATCCAAAAAATTGATTAAACTTGATGCAACATTCCCAAATTTTGGTAAACTCTTATTAAACATTATAAAATTATTTTAAGATTAAATTATATAATTTAATAATAAGAAAATTAAATTTTTTATGATGATTTTACTGTATAATAATGGTTTAATTAAAAATTAGTAATTATCCCAGAAACTAGGCGTGACATAATAAATATGAAGCCAGATTCGGAATCATCGTCGAAATTCCATATAAAAATTGTATACAATAAACAATTTTTTATTATTTGTATTTCTGTGATCACTGTGACTACTTATCATTTTCCGTATCATAATATTTAATGATAAAACCAACTATTTTATGACTTAGAGTTTAATAGTTCTTAAAAAAATTTAATATTTATTACTTAATTTAAATTTTTGAATAATGGAGGTTGATTCAGATTCTTCATTATCTTCTGAAGATTCTAACGACGAAGAATATGAAAACTTTAAACAAGAGGAACTTAAGAAGAAAGTGGATGTTTTAGAGAATAGAGTAAGTGTATTTCATGATTACTTAATCTAGAGTTTTTTTTTTAAATTAATGAAATATTTACTCCCATACCTTACAAAATACATAATAATTATGTTTTTATTATTTGTAATTAGCTGTGAAAAGTCTATTTTCCAGATTTAAACGTTTTAAACGTACTCATATATAATGTTCAATTATTTTGATAAATAGCATTGTTTTAGAAACGATTACAATATTTTTTTTTATAATTAAAAAGCAAAACTTATATGAAATTAAAGTAGAGTAATTAAACAAAATAAAACAAAATTTAGTAGACTAAGCTACCATATCCATAATCACTTATTTCATAAATACAGTATTAATAATTATGAAGTCTAATGACTTTATTTTGATTTTTGTATAACATTTAAACATTTTTTTCTTCCAAAAAGGTCTATGGTTCGTAAAAGTTACTATACATTTTTTAAAATATATTTTACTTGGTTTGAAATGAAAATTCATTTAATAATTTTATATCAATAGAGTAACCAGGCATTGGCAGTTATCCAGTTTTTGGTAATCTATAAGATTGTTACATCATAGAGTCTTATATATAGTTCTAAAAATTAGGGTTTAATTATTTTAAAGTTTCTAAAACTAAATAAAAAAAATTTTTTAAAACTTAATTATTGTAAAATATAGTGTAGTCCAGCATGTGTTCACAATACTTAAAACTTTTGATTCAATTAACACATCACTGTAAATTTTTTATTAATAATTTATGAGTTTTCAGACTACTTTAAAGTTATATTTTATTGTTTATTTTCAATAATAAATAAATATTTTACATTTTTTAATTTTTTCAAAATAGCAATTTTTTATCCTATTTCTTACAAAAAAATTTGATGAGTTGAAAATAATCTTTGGATTAACCTTGGGATAAATACTTATTGAGTTACAAACATTTTAAAAGAGTAATTGGATACATGTTGTGGGTGGAGTATGCAACATAAATATATACCAGTACGAGTATACCCGGGGGTTTAAATGGGGGTACTTAACTACCTTCCTATTTAACTATATTAAACAAAGTATTTTTAAAACATTTTCAAAAGTTAAATTGAAGAAGCGGTCAACTTTTCATTGAAAAGTTGCTATTTTTAATCCTCCTCTGGCTAGGTAAAAGATTAGTAAATTTGTTCTTTACTTATAAAATTAATTGTTTCTAGAAAAATAAAGTCTAACTTTTATTGAATTATTATTACTTTACCTTATTAACGCCCCTTTGTCATGTTGAAAACAAATTTAATACGTATTATCAGACAACAAATTAGGCTTAAAAAAAAAATAATTTTGACTAATTTGATTTATATAAACATTCTTTAATCATTTTTTATTGTTAAATGTTATTGAAACCCATAAATCTAACTTAATGCTTTGATTTTAGATTCTCAATAATTCATCAGATTATGATGCATATGTTGAACTAATATCAATACTCCGTGAAGCTAATAATTTAGAAGAAGTTCGTAAAGCTAGATTAAAACTTAATGAAAAATATCCTTTAAGTGCAAGTATGTATAAGTTATCAAAATGTATTTATAACATTTTAAGTAAATTATATCAATAAGATTTTTTCAATAGAATATTTATTGTAAGCTCACCTTCTAATTTTTTTATGTGTATAAGCTAATTATTTAATTAATGATTTAAATCATTAATAAATTTGAGACATGAAAAATTGTATAGGATTGTATATTGTAAAGTACAAAGCTTTACAATTCTAACTGTAGAACAAGACAAATTTAACATTTAGATAATTATTTACCAATTCATAATTGGATTATATGTTTATAGTTTTATTGAAGTAAATATATTATTATAACTAATTTGATGATTTAAAAAAATACTGTAGCACTCTTTGTTAAAAACATTCACTTTTCCTTATTTTATTTTTCAGAGTTATGGTTAGATTGGATTAAAGATGAAATTGGTATTGCTACAACTGAAGAAGAAAAGAATCATGTTGTTATGTTATGTGAAAAAGGAATTAAAGATTACCTAAGTATATTTCTTCTTGACTTAGACAAATTGAGCATTTTCTCTCAACTAAATTAATTTAATTTTAAGATTTTTATTGCTTTATGTATTTAGATATGTTTATATTTTTATACTTAAGTTATATTCTAAAAACAATTGTTTTTATTTTTCATCAGGTATAGACTTATGGTTAGAATTTGTACAATTCAGTATTGGCTGCATGACAGATAATACTGGAACAGAAACTACTAGACAACTAATGGAAAGAGCTTTAACAGCTGGTGGTTTACATGTACCCAATGGCAATGTCCTTTGGGAAGTTTATATTGTATTTGAAAAATTAATTTTAGATTCTTTAAAAGTAAAATTTAATTCATAATATTTTAAACTTTTGTAAATAATTATATTTAAATTTTTTTTTTCAGCAAAATTCTGATGAAAAAGCTATAATAGAACAAAAGCGTCGAATCAATAATTTGTATAAACGACAATTGTCGGTACCTCTTTTTGATATGGAAAGTAATTTTAATGAATATAAAGAGTGGTTACTTTCTGAAGGATTAGAAGAAGATAAAGCTATAGAAGATAGTTATAAACGGGCACTTAATAAATTACAACAAATTCAAGTATTTGAAGATAATTTAGTAAGTGGTTCTCTTAATTAGTAAAGTGGTTATTCTTATTATGATTTTGTTTACTAAACAATACTTTTTTTGAATGTATAAAGTGAGATTTTTCTTACTTTTTAATAATTTTTTAGTTGATAATAAAACAGATTGTGGATTTCTACCATAGTGTTATAAAAAAAAGTTGTAAATTTCAAGAATCAATTTTTTTGTTAGAATCTTTTATACAAATTTTGTGACTTCATCAATTTATTGTTGTGGTTTTTTTTAAGTATAAATAAATTATGTTTTTTTACCTCTTCAGCTTTCAAAAGAAATTTCTGAACGTTTAAGTTCTTATATGGAATATATAAACTGGGAAAAAAATCCAAAAGAAGGAGGTAATAAACCTAATAGAATTATTTGTTTATTTGAACGAGCAATAGCAGATCTTCCTCTTGAACAATCACTTTGGGCAGACTATATTGATTATATAGTAACTACTATCAAAGAAGCAGAGACTATATTAATCATTTGTAAAAGATCTATAGCTAACTGTCCATGGTCTGTTATTCTTTGGTGTACATACTTAATACAAGCTGAAGTTCACATGTGTCCTCACGAGGAAATAACTGGTGTGTTTGAAAATTCAATATTTTTCTTATAATTATTTAATTATCTACTCTGTTTTAAATATGTTTTGTTCATATTTATTAAAGCTATTATGGAAAAAGCATTATGTTCGTGGTTTAGTTCAGCAGCTGATTACAGATCATTATATTTAACTTATATATATTATCTAAGACGTAGACTAAATGATACTGATTCTGAAACTAAAGGGAAAAGAATCCAAGATGTAAGATCAATGTTAGAAAATGCTCAGAAATATCTTATAGATGGTATTTATTTGTGCATATTATAGCTTAACTGATACTAATATACAAATTAATTTCTTATTCTTTATTAAGGTTATGGTTTTGAAGGGGATCCATCTTGTGAGTTACTTTTATGGTGGACTGATTTTGAAGCCATTATAACAGGAGATATGGAACGCGTTCGAAAAATGTGGAATGATATTCTTAGTGCTGGACACAACCAGTCCTCTGCATATTGGATTAAATATCTGAATTTAGAAATGTAATTATGATTTTTTAAAATTAAACTTTTGTAGAGTTTGTCAATATTTCTTATTAAATATCAATATAGTAGTGTTTTCCATGTTATTTTATGGTATTTTTTGAATCAGTGATGAAGTATTCAATTTTTCAAATAGACATGCTTTCTTCTTTAAAACAAGTTCATCATAAGATTTAAAGGTCATTTTTATTTTCTTTTTCATAATTAATTATTTATTAACTAATTAGATGTTTTAAATGTAATTGGGTTTTAAGTTTTCAAAGATGATTGTATTAATCCTATATTAGATGTATGTAGTATAATATAGGTAAATGTTATGTGTTAAAACGTAAAATATTGATGAGACCTATCACTAATGAAATTAATATAGAGCCTATAGATTATCATAGATCATTTGAATAATATAAAATAAATACTGTAACAGTATACATGTATTGTTTATGTCAATGGATAATATTTATAGGCAATATGGTGATCCAAAACATGTAAGGAAATTATTTACAAGAGCATTAATGACTAATACTGATTCACCAGAAACTATTGGTGTTGAATGGATAAAATACGAATCTTTGTATGGAGATTTAGATAGTATGTTAAATTGCCAAGAAAAATTCAAATCAAAGTATGAGAGTTATAAAACCTTGAAGTCATTTAAAATTTTTTTTATTATACACACAATTAATTGTTTTTAACTATTAATCTAATATTTTAAGAATGAAACAAGTTCAAGAAACTAGAGAAAAAGAACAAGTAGAAAGTAGAAGTGGAACTAAAGTTAAAGAAGCCAAAAAGAGAAAAGTAATTATTCTTTGTATTTCAATTAATGTTTTTACATTATAAAAGCTAAAATAAATTAATATTAAAATGAATACATAGAGCCAAATTTCAGGAGATTAGTGCAATTGTAATAGAATCAATAAATTTATCTTATGAATTCAATAATTTCAGCATTTTCACAGATATTACCTTTAAAATGAAGAAAAACATAATTTATTAATGAAAATATCCCAAAACATTAAAATAGAATAATTTGATCTGAAATTATAAACATCTTAGAGAAAAGTCAAACTTTTTATACACTTTGCATTATAGTGCTTGATAATAACTGTTATTTCTCAAATGTACTGGATTTTTTGTGATATTTAAATTCTGCATTTACAATATATTTTTAATAAACCAATATTAATTAACTTAAGTTGGTAATATTTATTTAATTTTTTTTCGTAATTCAAGTGGGAAGAAAAAGAATCCAAAACAACCACCCAAGAGGAAAATTTTAATGGTAATTTTAAAGTACCATATAGCACGAAACAAGAGAAAGATTTTGAGCCATCACCTGAAAAGAAGTCTAGAATAGGTAAATATATCTTTAAAAATTTTGTATAAGCTAAATCAAAGCTATACGCATGCATAAGAATCAAAAATTAAAAAAGAGCAGTAAACCTAAGGAAATTTTTTTTTCGAATCAGATGTGATAAAACATTGAAAAATTGGTTAATGCTGGAAAAATTATTTAACAATCTACAATTTTCATATATATATATATATATAATTTTGAAACATTATTTTGATAAAATTATTTGAAAAGATAAGAAAATTTTTTTAGTATTCCGTGAGCATTTAAAAGTTTTGATAAAATCACTAATTGTCGTCAGCATTCTTCAGTTTAAAATTTGAACCAAGCTTATCCAAAGACATCCTAAGGTATCCTGAAAATTTTGTTTAAAACAATTATTTATTAGTTAGTCTATTATAAGCGTCCTTTAGTTTTTTTTTCTCGCAACTTCAGGCTGTACTGCCTGAATCCTTTTTTTTTTCTAAGCTATTTTATCATTTTTATGTTTACAGAAACAACCTTAGATAAAGGAAGATTTGTAGAAATAGAAGGTAAAGAACACCGCTCAGTATTTGTCAGTAATTTAGACTTTGCTGTTACTGAATCAGAGGTTAAAGATGCATTGTCAATAATTGGACCATGTGAAGTACAACTTGTGAAAGATTTTAGAAATCGTTCTAAAGGATTTGGCTATGTACTTTTTGAAAACACAGTAAGTTAAATATTGTAAAATTCTCATTTTATTATAATTTTCATTAAATACTTTTTAAAATTTAGGATACGGCAATACAAGCCTTAAAAAAAGATCGTACACTTGTTAATAACAGACCTATGTTTATATCAAAGTGTGAACCTGACAAACAAAGTAGAACAGCAGGACTACGTTTTACCACTCGACTTGAGAAAAATAAGTTATTTGTTAAAGGTAATCTACTGCTAATAATTAATGTCAGTAAAACTCACATCAATGTTAATTTAATTATACTTATTATAATATTATATTTACTGAGTATTTTATATTACTAAAATTAATATAAATTATTATTTTTTATTAATGAATTTTATAAAAACTAATTTTTTTTAGGCTTGCCTTTTAGTTGTACAAAAACAGATTTAGAAAATATTTTTAAAGAATACGGAACATTAAAAGATATTCGTATTGTAACATTTAGAAATGGACATTCTAAAGGATTAGCTTATATTGATTTTGAGGACGAGGTAGTATACTAACTATGTCTTTCTAAATACATTTAATTTATAACTGTAATTTAATTTAGGTGTCTGCTGCTGCAGCTCTTTTAAAAACAGACAATATGGTAATCCAAAACAAAACAATATCAGTAGCCTTAAGTCAGCCACCTGATAGAAAAAATATTTCTGAATATAAGTCATACCCCCCACCATCAAGATTTAATTCTAGCATATCAAATTCTAATCCTTTTCCTGTGCGGTAAGATCTAATATGAAATATTATTAATTTTTAATAAACATTTTTTAGATCTTCTTTTATTTTTAGTCGGGACACTGCTCGTACAAAATTATCCTTGTTGCCTAGTGTTTTACAAAAATCTATTCAAGGAACAACTACTCAAAGTTCAAAACCAACTGGTGATAAATCTGCTTTGAGTAATAATGATTTTAGAAAAATGTTGTTGAATAATAAGTAAATCTTTTGTTTGCTATCAAATTCCAATTTTTCCAATTATTTTCTTATAATTAAGTATTTAAAAAAATTACCTTATTTTTAAATTTCATACTGTTCTAATATAAACATATAAGATGTCATTGTCATTTCTTTTGTCTTAAAATAATAAGTTATATTATTGTATTATAGACATTTTTACTTTAAAGAATCTTTTAAATTACTGAATTATTCCAAGGTAATACAATTATTGTTATACAAAGTAATTTGCTAACTCTTATCTTCAATAATATAAGGCAAAATACATTTCTTTTCTTATCAAAAGTTAGAAGTATCCTATTATCTACTAATTATATAAACTTAAATTTTTTAATTGAAACCAAACATGTTTAACTAGCCTATAATCAAGAAAATGACTAATTGAAAACAACTATTTTACCATTATTAAATAAATATATAAGTATTTTACATCAGTAACTTTCAAAACATTACATACAAGTTAAATTTATTAAAATTAAATACTGTAAGTTTAACTTGTAGTCATGTTTACATTTTTCTTGTTATTATGTATAGTTTTTAATGTAGTATTCTATATAAAACTACATAAATATGATTCATTTTTCTTTTACCTAAAAACAAATGTAATTTCAAAAACTACACAATCATTTAAAAAAATTTTTACTAACTAAAATTATTAAATTTTACAATAAATATAATTAAAAGAAAAATTAATTATTTTTGAAAATAGTAGTATATTTATTTCATAGAGCCTCATTAATATTTTTTAATACTAAAACTGAATTAATTTTTTTTTGAAATTGACACTATTGGGATATGAAAAATGTACCAGTAATTATGTGAAAAATAATAAGTTAAGGGATTAAAACCCACAGAGAAAGAGATATTGTCAAATGTAACTACAAAGTCACTGTGCACATTCAGATCTCGATACACTTCTGTAAAGGTTGGTACTGCTGTATAGACTGAGGAAACATTGTACTATGAGTGACAAGTACTGAAGTTTAACCACAAATTTAAATATGTGTATTTTATTTTTATCTAGTAGAGTAAAATAGTTTTTAGTACAAAATTTTTATTACTTAGAAAACAAATTTTCCTACTAATATAAAACTTGCAATATTTATATAAAAAAATTTTTTTTTAATATATTATAAAATAATGAACAATAATACACATTCTATATCTTAATTTAATAAAAAATATGCAAGAGTACAAAATTAATAAAAAAAATTTACAAAAAATATGAGATTAGATTTGTATACAGTTATATTATTAATAAAAATTGATCGAATTTGACATAAATATAAAATTTGCTTTTTTTGTCAAAATCAATAAACTCTTAATTTTTTATATTTTTATTAAAAAAGTAGAAATAACCAAAAATAGGAAAATAAAATGACTACTTATTATGTCAATGTAATATTAATGAATAAACTACAAATAATGTATGTTACAATAAGTAATCCATTTGTATTTGATACTAAATTAAAAATTTTTTCATCTTGGTATTTGGTCAGTCTAAAAAAATATTTTTTGATAAATTTTGTAACTTATCTTCAAAATATTATGAAAAAAACATTTAAAAAAAAATTATTATTATTATTTAAAAAATATATAGTTTTGATATGTAATTATTAATACTCGTGTAACAATTTATGACAACTAACTACACTACCCATGTCTAACTGTTACATTATATTTATTTTATACATGGTTAGTCAAATTATTTTTTAATAATAATTTTAATCTATCATGAGTTCAAAATGAGCTGATCCTCCTCGATTTCCGTTTTTATTGTGATAAATATTTTTTGCCCATGCTTTGCACAATACATTAATCGCTATACTATCTGAAATTAAAAGAAACTTATATTATATCAATCATATTCTTATAATTGAGTATGTTATATTAATCATACTATGTGGCCTTTTAAATTGCACTGCAACCAAGGGGCTGAGATATCCTTCAGCATTTTCAAATGGGAAGAAATATCCAGGAAATCCTGGTCTTGGGTTGTAAGAAATTGGACCAATAAGTTCTTTGTCTGCAACAGTTTCTCCATCACATGACACCCATACAGTTCTTAACTAAAAATAATAACTTTCATACTAAATTTTAAAATTAGTAAAAACAAAAAATATAAATCATATGTTCAAGGTTTAAAATTAACCCAAATACCAATTTGATTGTTATATATTTATTTAATATAAGATTACACAAATTGTTGTAATAATTAAAATGTAAAGTATTAAATATTTTGATGATATAAGTTCCATAGGTATGAATTTTGAAACACTACTAAAAGATACAAATATATTATGCTTACCTCATTAGGATTGGTTATATTTCTAATATAAGACTTTAACCATTCAGGCATTTCATCGGGTAGTTCTTTTGGATCATCATAAAAAATTGGATTCCAACCATAAATCTCAATAATTATGAACAAAATTTTATTAAATTTAATCTCTAAATTTTTTTTTTGTATTCAAATACATTTTATTTTTGAAATATTACCTTATTAAGTTTTAGAAATATGCAAGGGGCTTGTCTGTCATAGTAAAATCGGTTTTCATCTGTACACTGATCAAATGCTCTGACTTCAACATTACATACTTTCCCTTTGCCAGGTGGCTGATCATAACTACATGTAGCTATATTTTCACCTCTCCCAGGTGTCAAACCAGGTGTCTTATAAACTATGAATTAAAAATAAAAATGTTTGTAAAAAAATTTAAAGACACATGCTAAAACTACTATACCTTCCAAAAAATCAATTAGTCGTTTTATCCACACAGTATACTCCTCAGTTAATGTGCTATTTATATGAATTAAAGTACTGTGTGTTTCATTAGGCATAGGTCTAAAGCCCAGTCCTAAAATTAAAAACATATTGCATCAATTAAATTATTTCATTCTCTTTAAAATTTGAAATAAAAAATTAATTATAGTAATATAATATAAGATTCTAAATAGACATACCAGGATTTGTTCCAATAAGAGATCTATCTAACTGCTTTGTAGGAATACGTGGATCTAATGTTTGGAAGAAAACCCATAATACTATCGAAAATATTGCAACCAGTGTTATGTAAAATACTGAATAAAAAATACCTATTTGAGCTGAAATATAAAAGAATTATAATTAATAAAATAAGATAATTTCTATATTCTATTCTTATTTATTAAATAAATAAAATGTGAATTAATTGTTTTATTACAAAAAATATACTAACAGTTATTAAGTATTAATTAATCAATGATGATCAAAATATAATATTAACTGTATTGGACACACCCAAAATGTTATACAGACTTAATTCAAAATTATATGACATGGATTAAATTTAAGACAATTATCGCTTTATTTACAGATGAGTTAATTAGAAAATAATAAAAAATATTAATCAAGTTTACTTTACCTAAGCTAGAAGGTGTACGTCCAAAAATTTCACCAGAATCTTTATCATAGGCGTACATGATACATTTTTTGGAAAATGGTGTTTTCCGTTTTTCATTGTCAGTGCCAATGAATGTCGTTTTACTCCCGTAATGCATGACTACAATACTCAAACAATTTTTTTCAGTAAGATTAATTCTTGTTTAAAAAACAAGAAAAAACTTAGTCAAATACTTAGACGTTGAATTATCAACTTAAAAACAAAATGTTTATATTGAGTAATAAACGGAATTCCTTATCAATAAAACTCTATAACCTGTTGGTAGGACTTGCGTGGGTGAGTTGAATCTTTAAAGTTACCATTACATCGTTACGTCAGTTTGCCTTTATTCCATTCTGTGTACTAATTATACAGAATAATAATTACAATAATTTTGAGACTTCTCAAAAATAATTTTTTGTTCGATGAATCATTATTCTTATTTTTACCTTTAAATTAAAAAAAAAAGATTTAACGTATTTTAAATAAGATCTGATTTAAAAAGACAATTAAAGAAGCATGGGGCTTTAATCCTCACAAATTTTAAGTCTCTAATAATAAATATATGATCAATATTTGTTGGCTCGTCATTTTTAAAATAAAGATTATATCATTTCGCTCGAATGTAAAATACTACTAATAAGCATTTTTTTCTATAGACTCTTAGGGGTAAAATTTGTTGATGATTAATTAATTTTCACCTTTTCTTTAAAATATTTTTATAGAATAATACCCACCCATTTTGGGAGCCCTCATTATGTTAGATAACTTTTTTTTACTTGATATACCTCTTTGGAAATCATCTTAAAAGCCTATAAGAAAAATTTCTTATGGGGATCCTAAGGTAATATCTGACCGACAGTGGATTTAGCCCATTTTGCGCTTACACTTAAAATTTCTTACGTTATTGTGTTTTAAAATATCTTCATAAATTTGTACAAATAATATTATATTTAGTTCAAATTATTTACACAACTTTGATCTTTTTTTGTTCTTATAAATATTTTGGAGATTCTTAATACTTAAGTAATTAGGACTTTCAGAATCCTGGCCTTGACAAAACCCAAAGCAAACACAGTTTAATACATCGAATGGTTAATAGTTTAAACGAGGCCCCTAATTATAATAACCAATTATGTTTTATATGTTGCTAAACTTTAATTAATAAATCTGAGGCTCATACATCCCTGAGTACTGGAAGCCATGAATTCTTCCTGTCACGAGTATAGCTAAGCCTAAATAAAGGTAGGCCACCCTCATTATTTCAGCATGATCCTCCATTAAACCAAACCTTTATACATATTGATATACTTATTAAATTAGAGCAAATGAATGGCTTACACCAAACGATCCCAAATTTAAATATTAACAAGAAAATCAAATAGTAAATCACATAAAATTGAAGTTGAAAAACAAACAAAAAATTAAGATATTCAAAGGAATGGAATTAAAAATTGTTTAATTTAATATATTGTATCAAATATAAAGTTTTGCGCGTGATCTGAAGGAAACTTTAGGAATCTTAAAAAGTATATATGTAATAATATATAGAAATATTATTTTTAAGAGGAAAGATATTAAATTACACCTCTCAAAAATTTACTTTATTTGCACCAATTATATAATATAACTATTACAGTTATATTATGTAAATAATATTATAATATAAGTACACAAAGTCATCGATATAATTACACAACCATAAATGGACCTCAAACCTCAATTTGGAAGACCGGTGTGATAACAAAGCTGATAACCGTAGTATACTTACATACAAGGTATGATATATTGAATCGTAGCCCAAGGTATTAATGCTATGAGCTAATTCAGATTAAATAATAAGTATCAAATAATTTTTTAGGTATTTTAAACTGTAGGTAAATTATTTAGAATGATGTTAAACTCGATTCGTAATTTGACTGTGGCTTTATTCAAAACTGCAGGCAATTTCCCTGCTTCAAGAGAAATTCTAAGAGTAAGTTTCAATATAAATTTAATTTAATTATTTTGAGTAAAAATTAATTTTATTAGAGAACTGAAAGAAGTATATCAACCAGCTTTATAAAATGTAATGAAACGTCAACTGAAGGGGCACTTGATGAAATTAAACGAGATCCCCTTAAAGATAGATCTACAGTTATACCAGTTGAAACTAGTATTGACTATTTGAAAAGTGATGGTAACTTTTTTTTGTACAATTAAGTAAAATTTATTTTTAAATCATTTGAAATTTTCTCTTGGTTGTTGTGTTTTCCATGTTAAAATTTATTAGTTAAATTTAATATTTTTTCATGAATACGTAGTAATATATTTAATAAATTTTGATTCTATTCATATCAAGTTCTATTAATTATTTTTAAGAAATTACTTAAGTTAATGTAATAATTTATATATAGATTTCATAAAGTAAAACAATTAATAATTCTGTTAAGAACTAATTTAAACATGTTTGAAGTATCAATCTGTTTTCTTTCTATTTAGCATACAAAACTACTTATGGAGATAATCCTGTTTGGAAAGAATACCGTAGAAACCATAAAGGCAGTATTCCACCAAATAAAACTAGAAAAACATGCATTGTAAGTTTTATAACATAATTAAATCATTAAATAATTCTTATAAATTTTCTATTTAGAGAGCTGATAAAATTTCTACGGGTAATCCTTGTCCTATATGCCGAGATGAATATTTAGTTTTGGATTACAGGAATGTTGATTTAATTAAGCAATTTATAAGTACTAATTCAGGTCAAGTGTTATCTTACAAGTAAGTAATAACTATTAATATTTTCAGTATTTTTAATAATTATTCTTTTATTTAAAATAATCAAAAATGTTTGTAGGCTAACAGGAATTTGTCAAAAACAATATGTAAAATTGCTCGTTGCTGTAAAAAAAGCCAAAGACTGGGGATTTATTAAATTTGATGTTCCCATTAAAAATTACAATTATGATGAGTATAAAAATGATAAATAAACTGGTTTATTGGATAGATAAATATTGTTGATTGTCAATAAAATCATAATTATTTAAGTTTTATCTCTATTTTTGTTTAACTTATATTTATAACGTTCTTAGTTTTTATAAAAAAAATATAAAATGTGTTATCACAGCTTATAAATTAAATATATACTCTATCTTTCATGGTTTTATTAGTATTTATAGTAGATTACAGATAACTGAACAAGTATACATTCACAAAAAAATGTTCATTTAAAGTACAACAAACTATTTTTGAAATGTGAAAATAAGAACACTTAAATAAACTCAATGAATATAAAAAGAATAAGTACATTACCCTGAAATCTTTTTGCTAGTCAATATTTTCCTTGTCTCTCAAATTTAGTAACATTTCTTAAATTCAATAGAAATATAAATTTTCCATAAATATTTATGTCATGAAAGATTAAAAAATTAAATAAGGTTTAATAGTAATTATTTATTGAAATTTAATGGGCTATTACAAAATTCTTATTGTGAAAAGTAAGATATTTTGTACATTATAACTAGAGAGATATCATAGGATAGTTATTAGAAATTACTAAAGCTGACTACAATAATGATAAATTTTAACTCGTTAACATTAAGTTGATTGAAAACAGTTAACAAATTAATAATTAATTATTTTAAATAAATTAAGTTAAGTTGACAAAATCACATTAACAATTTAGTACAAATATTAGTAGGTTTGCAAAAATATTAATGTCTCAGTTTAAAACTGCTATAACTCAAAAAATGAAATTTTTCAAAATAATTATTTAAAAAAGAATTTTCATATTACCTCCAATGTAAAATTTAATTTTAAAAACGTTCTCCTTTGAAAAATAACTTGGCTATATTAATTTATAATTTTTAAATGTTGAATAATGAGCTACAACATAAGATCAAAACTAAAAAACTAAATTTTTTGGGTTGTTGCAGTTTTAAAATAGGTTGTCGATATATTTATAGGATGAAAATTTTTAAGTGACTTGATTTTTTCTTCTACAATTTTTTATTCTTTTATAAAAAAATTGAATGAAAAACATGATTTTTAAAATATTCAAATAAATTTATGTCAATTCATCTTCTAAAAATGTATTTATTTTCATGTAAACTAGCGAAAATTATAATGAATAAATAAATACATAATTGTTTATTGTAATATTTTTTAAGATAATGTAGTTTTTAAAAACGTATTTTTATTGTTAGCTATAAAAATAATATATTTATTTTCTTCTCCTTAAATAATTTAAAAAATTCAAGTTGCACAATTTTTGTAAAATTTGTTAACTGATTAAAAAAAAATTATCACATTTACAATTTAATTAAATAATAAGTATATACCAAAACTATACTTCAATTTTTTGTTAAATTAACAAAAGAGAAATTAACGTATAATCTGTTAAGCTAAAATGTTTAACTCGTTTATGTCCAGCCTTGAAAATTGCTTACTAAAATTATGAAACATGAAGACCAGATGAAATATATTCCAGTATTATTTTATTTTAGATTAGAGAAGTATTTTAGAGCGTTAAATAATAACATACAAAAAATGTTAACATTAGAAATGTTTAAAAAAATGTATACTAAGAAAAGCTTCTAAAAAATTGTTCAAAGTGTAGTTTTTCTTGAAAATAAGAGGATCGATCACTATATCGACAATAAATGACCAAACTAGTTCGATAAAATATTTTACGCCATTTAACATCAATATTATATACTTATTATCAAGTACTGGCATATATACAACAGTTTTAAATGGTTAGAAATATATTGGATAGAATAAAGTACCTAATACGAACATTTTTGTTAATTGTAAAAAGCGCTAAGACTCTGTAACCTTTGTTTGTTCATTCAACCAAATTTTTTTTTTCGCTTCAGGCAAGTGCCCATTTGAAATACATTTACCACGCCACTAGTTAGTTAGGTATAATCATAGGATATTTTACAAGAACATTTTGTATTTTAGAAAAATTTAATCAAAATTTACAGTCGTGTTCATAGAATAAAATACCATGATTTTTAGCCTCCTATTAAGATGTTGGTCTTAAATTTTTTAAGTAAGGAGAATTTACCCTTCAAAACAATTCCAATTGAACAATTGATGTAATATTTAATTTTATTTCTAAATTATTTTTATTTTTTTCTTTCAATGATATATTTTTTCCAACTTAATTATTATTTAACCTAACTGAACAATGATTATTATCGTTTAGGAAAAATAAAAATAAATACGGTTTTTATAAAACATAGCAGAGAAAAACTTTTAACCCGTGCTTGAGGCAACACTGCAGCTTCTGCCAAGCGAATAATTCTGTACAGGACGGCGTTTCCAGCCGTCGCGCCGGCGCGGCGCCTTTCGTACCAACTGCGTACTTGGGACATTGAACGCGAACGCCCCCGTTTATTGCGAGTTGGCCATCGATCGGGTGCGCTCAAACCCCGTTTTCAGGCAACACGACTTCACCTTTTTTCATCTATGTGTTTTGTGTTTTATCGATCGAACAAATAAACGTGAAACTTGGTACTTCCAAGAATTATACTGTTGCGAGACGGCAGTCTCGACAAAGTACTCTAACCGGCGCTCCCCCACCGACCACAGTTACCGGGCCAACGCACATACTGGTGGTCGAACGTAACCACCTCGCTGTCGGTGCAGTGCTGTTTGGAACCAAAGCTCGCAGCAGCAGTAAGGCGACGCGTCAGCCTCAGCCATGGTGAAGCACACGACCGATACCAATGGCATCGGGTACGAGTGGGAGTACGCCAAAGTTAAGGACGACCGAACGATATGGCAGAAGATCGTCATGGGCATCTACAACCCTAACACGCACGAAGTACTAGGACGTTCTTTAAGAAGCTGGGGTGGGTATATAACTGGTTCACTTTTCATTATTCAGCCCCCCCTTTTTTTCCAATATGTCTAATTTACTACCTCATTTTTGTCTCTCGTCTAAATTAGGCGACATGTATTTCTTTTCTTTAATGTAATTTACGGTAAATGCACATTTTTATGTAGTTAACTACAAATTATGATTAACACCCCCCAAAACATCAGCTGAAGGTAAGGTGGAAAATGCGAGGGTATGTAGAAGGGGGACCCGTAGTTACTGGAGACGAGGCTAAAGTGAGACAATTTAAATTTAAATTGCGTGCTTTTCTACTCTTTGATACCACACAAGTTATTGATACATCGTAAAAATTATGATTATTTATCTTTTTAAGCGTATTCAGTACCTCTTTTTTGTATAAAACCTAATTAAAACATTTATTTTGATAAATTTGTTTGTTATTTACATTACTCGTAGTTAAACTGCCGCTAATCTAACGCATCAAAGATAGTATTTAATTAAAAATGATATTAATAAGAGTCTAATGTCTATTTACGTTACAATAACATATAATATAATATAAAATCTTATAAAAATGTTTTATTAACGTTATTTTTTCAAATTGCGTCTATGGGAATAAGGAAAATTGTATTATTGTGACAACGGATTATCTTGATTATATATTCAAAATTACTCGTACCTTTTTAAACGAAAACATTTTCTTAGCTGTTAATTCAGGATTAGTATCGCCTAGTTTATAAATAACGCTTTTCAAAATAAAATTACACAAGCTGAGCTTTTAAGTTATTAATGATTATCCTTTATTTTAATCTTAAGTGATGAAAAAATAATATAAGTATAATAGAGAAAAATTGCATGTAAAATTGGATAGGATATATATATATATATATGTTTTTTTACGTAATTCAAGCTAATAAAAATATGAAGGTTAGGTCTTATTAGAATTTTGCTATTAATTCTGTTTTCTTTTATAGTTTGGTGATTATTTGCTAGACTTTAAATTATATTTTATTTTATTTAAAAAATATGATGTACAATAAATGAGTTAATGACACATGTGCTGTACTCAGTTTGACAACAAATATTTATGAAAATTATAATCACATAATACTAAAAATTTTGTATGTAACCGTGTTAAATTATTACTAGGTATTTCAAATTTGTTCGCTTTAAAAAAACTTTTTTTTTAAATTAAAATATAAAACTTAAAATTATCAAACAAAGAATTGTTTAAATTATTTTTATCTACTTAACTTTTAGACTTTTTAATTGTCAGTAGAAAATTCTACTGAAATTACTATAGGAAACAGTTTATAAAATAATTATTACATTCATTGATTTTAAATGTAGAAATACATAAACATATGCCAGTCTATAATAACGTCATTCATTTTAACACACTGTTATATAACAATGTTTCAACTCAGAAGTATGTATAATAAAGTATGATTCCAGCACCGCACTAGTTAAAAGTAGGTTTGTTTTACTCTTCATACCGTTGCCAACGCTCTAAGAATAGAAGAAATCACACTAACATCTGCGACAGCAGTGCGGTAAATTTTTTATGATATTTTTAATAATACAAAATCTCTTCTATGTTTAGCATTACTCGAGTCCTCTTTTTTGAAAAAATGAATTAAAACATCATTATTAAATTACATTTAATGTCATTATTTTGTTGGATGCAATAGATATTTCTGTGGCGTTTATGCAAAAAACCCTTTTTTTATTTTAGAGTAAACACACAAATCAGCGTATACATCTAAATAAAAATAGTACATAAGTATTATTTTTTAGGATATAAGTTAATTAAAATAACGTTAGCAAGCATACGCCATATCCCCTCGCATACTTCCCAAACCACTACCGATGTTTCCTTAATAACAGATAAGACAGTAAAATTTTCATTCTACTCTGTGGTAGACTTTTGTAGTTGTAAAAAATATTAATTAGTAGAATGAGGCTATTGAAAAGGATGGAATAGGCCAAACACCACGTGAGAAAAGTTTTTCACTCAAATGATAAAACGCAGGGTAACGATACCAGTCATAGGCACACTAACCACTTTAGCAGTACAGAGTTAAATACTTAATAAATGATTTATTAAAGTTTTATATAATATTTTTATTTTAAAAATCAACTATGAGGCTTAATAAAAAAATAAAAGCCTACTTATCAGAGCCTTAAAAAAACACTCTAATCAAATATAAAAATAGCCAAACACTGGTTCCGTTACCCTATTGATTATTTTTCGTTCATGGTAACAACTCATTCCTTTCTCCCCTTTTTCATACGCTACATGTTGCAATTACTTCGTTCTACAAATACTTGTACAGAACATTATAATAGGTAGTGCTACTAAAACTTATTTTACGAAGAAATAATATTTAATATTATTTCTTCGTAAAATAAACGAGATGAATTTATCCGATTTGGAAATACGTTAATGAATAGGACTTCCCTTATGATAAAGAAGAATATAAATAAGCGTTATAATTCATTAATAAACGTAATCGTTGGTAGTTAAAAACGCTGTTAACTTTTACTGCGACTAAAGACAATTTCAATTTTCATTTGAGTCGTTAGTAAATATGTTACATTACTCAAGTACACAAATCGGATGTCAATGAGTTGTTTAAAAATAGGAACATCTTGTCGGGCTTATATGTAAGAACATTTTTCAGTTATTTAATATTTCTACAAATTATTTTTAGAAAATTATATAAAAAAAGAAATTTCCGATAACAATCTTTTGAATAAAATTCGAAAATAATATTAATCGGAATGGTCAGTTTTACTTAAATTTTATTCTGTAGCTTATAATGCTAACGTGGACGTTATATTTAGTGAGTATTTTTATAAATATCGTTTTTTTGGGTAAATAAAAATGTATTCAGTAAAAATCTGTACATATTACTAGCATTTTAATTGCAAACCAAAATAAATTTCATAATTACAGAGTTGCGGAAATCTGAAACCTTTAAAGATTTATTTTAAACTAAATTACTAGTTTTTTTAAATCATACACATTGTAGAAATTAAAAATGATGACCTTCAAAAATTGTCACTTATACTGCAAAGTATTTTAAGATTTCTCAAAATGAAATTTTTACCAATAATAGCAAAATAAGTGCTTCTAAACACTTTTTTCTAGATAGGTACTTATTTTGCGAGACTCGAAGTTTTATTATAGGTTATGCAAATAATAAAATCGCCACTTATATTAAAAAGTGTATAATTCAAATTTGTGTTTTGAATATCCTGAAAACCTAGAAGAAGTGAAATACGCATTGTTGAAGTTTAAACGACGATATGTATAGTTTCCTACAAGTAAAATATAGTTCACCGTAAACCATTTAGTGTACTTATTTTGTATCATTCCTACAAATTTGATTGATTAAAAAATGTCAGCCGTAAAAGTGTCGTTGTTAAAATTTAAACTTAATCATACATTTTTATTTCAGGTGGTATCTTATTATTCTATTTAGTATTTTATTCTTCCTTGGCTGTATTATTTGGAATTTGTTTAAAACTACTATTGTCTACCCTTGACGAACGTACACCTCACTTCACTCTTTCAAATTCAATAATCGGCACCAACCCTGGTGAGTCGCATTGAAAATAATTATAATTGTTAAAGATGCATGTAATTATTACTTATCATATTTTTTGTTTTATTAGGCCTCGGATTTCGCCCAAGGTCTCGTAACGTCGAAGATGGTTCACTTATTTATTACGAAGCCAAAAATTCGACTAACGTTGACACCTGGGTTAATTCTTTGGACGATTTTTTAGCCGGTAAGAATTTTATGTTAGTTAAATAATATTTTTTAAACTGTACTATTTGCGCGAATTTATTTATTTTTATAAAAAAAATCTTGTCTTTTTATGTTAAATTAAATAATAATGGGGTAGGTATTTCACATAGTATTTCTGGCCTAATTTCTTATATTTAGTATCGATAAATAGAAATCAACTTTGTGTATTGAAAGTAAACATTTTGAATTTTATAATAATCACACTTCAATTGGAAATTATTCGGTAAATATTCATTTCAACCTTCACGGTGATATAAAGAACTACATGATTGATACATTTCGAACCGCTATAGTTCCTACGTCCATAGGTGGAAATCAGTAGAGGTTAAAGGAGCTAAGTACTTAAAAATATTGAATTAAATCCATTTTTAATCCAATATTAACGTCTTAAACAGTGTAACAAATTAATAATCTTCTATAATTATCCAATAGTGTACAAAAATAAAACCCTATTGCCAGACGGAGGAAGCAATCAACAACAAGGATGTAATCACCACTTCTACCCAGAAAACGGAAAAGTATGCGATTTCAGAGTAGATATCAATATGGGAAACTGCACGTCCGAAAAGAAATACGGATATCCTGATGGTCAGCCATGCGTTTTCATTAAGCTCAACAAGGTTAATTTGTAAATGAAATTGAACTTTTTTGTTTATTTAAGTGTGCTTTTATATTGCTTGCAGATTTTCGACTGGAAACCCGAATTTTATAACATGTCAAATCTTCCAGATGGAATGCCAAAAGATCTTAAAAACACTATTTCTAATAAATTATTCAACGACCCCAATGAGGTAATGCTATTATTTCAATTAATAATTTTTAATCATAATACTATTTTATTTAAATCATTTTTTTCTCCTCTAGGTAAATACCGTATGGGTGAGTTGCGAAGGTGAAACGCCTTCCGATAGGGAAAACATTGGACCGATTGATTTACATCCAGAAGGATTCCCTGGCTACTATTATCCATTCACTAACAAAAAAGACTATCTCAGCCCTTTAATAGCCGTACACTTCAAAAAGCCCAAAAGTATGATTTATACTAAATGAACCCAACTTACTCGATAGTTTTCAATTCATCTATTTAATCTATATATATTTAAACTAATAAATCTATTTTTTGCTTTATTATTTTCCAGAGCATACACTCATCAACGTCGAATGTCGGGCCTGGGCCAGAAACATTGTATACAGACGTAGTCTGCAAAATCGCGAAGGTTCAGTGCATTTTGAGTTGATGATTGACTAAACGCTGACGTGCCTTTTTTAGTATACCTAAAAAAACTTACAAACCGACAGCCTATCAGTGCTACACCCGCATGATTAAGAAATACTTTCAATTAAATAAATCAACGCTTCGTTGTCAATTTTTTTTTCGATACTCAACAGAAAATAGTTGCTGTATAATTGTGTATTGTAGAATTTGTTACAAAAACAATGAATTATTTATTATTGTTGTTCCGTTGATTAAGCAGTAATGATACAATATTACTTAATTTGTTAGGTACGCCCATTTTTTTACATTACTTTGTATATGTAAGTTTTAGATTATTAATTATTTTAGATTATCATATCGTTTCGCGGTGAGATAAATTTATAGATTATAATTCATGATAAAATATATCCAAGCTTGAGTACCTTATGTACTTGCCGCAATAACATACTACGATAAAGCGATTTTTATTATTAAAAAAATATTGTTTTTTATTTATAATAAAACGCTAAGAAATTCGATAATTTTCACTGCCTTTCTTATAATTTAATAATACCTCGTTTTTTTTTCACTCAGTAATTTTCCTAAGCAAATTCGGATTGCATTTAATACAAGGTAGGCATCGTGTACGACATTATATGTTTAAGCGACAGTTATTAGCATTTTTTTTAGTAAATCCAGATGAGTATGTCTATTCCAAGATCCTGGATCCGATTATTGGGAACGAAGAACTAATTTTAATATATCCATAATAAACTATTAGTAATAATAAAATCGATAAAAACTTAATAAAATAATTTTAGTTAGATTATTGATTTGAATAATATGTACGTTTTTAAGAACGTATAAAATAATTTTTTTAACGTACTTAATTTAAAAATAATAAACGCAAATATACATTATTGCATACATTCGTACGTTAGATTTAACATATTAATCATTATATTATTATGATGTTATTGTTTGGAATTTTAACATGTTGACTATGTTGCAAGCTAAATATTTATAGCTTTGTAATTATTTATGGTAATTATTATTTAATTCAAATTTCCTAGACTAAGTCTGTGAATTTGTGGTTTTATGTTTTTATATATTTATGTTAATAAAATTTAATATGTTTAGTAATATGAAGATCAAATATTTACGTGAAAAAAAATACTATACATAGAATATAGAAAATATTTATGGATTTAATTTTGAATTTTTTAATGGTGTATATTTAAATATCAGTTAAGTCATTTTTAATAAATGACTAAACTATTATGTAAATGTTAACTATTGGTAGACTTTTTATTTAATATTTATTTAATAAAACACATTTAAGTTGGGACCCGACAGAATAAAATTTAGTCATTTTAAAAAACTAAAGATTAGTATTGATTGATATCTTACAATGATTAAAACACTGTCGCTATACGCTTTTATGCATATATTTAACTAACTATTAAACTTATAACGTTTATATGATAAATTTAATAGGAATAAGTATAGGTGATATCAATTACTTACAATATCTTGTAACTGTTAAATGGATTTACATAAGAATAAAGAGTATTTATGTTGTTATACTATGTTTGTTGTGACTTAATTTTTATCAGAAATTATAGTTTTAACGGCGATACCAGTTTATCGAAGTTTATAAATGTTTCATTATCTACCTAAATTTATGTAATGTTCTAAAGTAATACCGTAAAATTTAATTTTCTTTTAAATTTAAAGTAATGTAGATCAAATACTCTTAGACACACTTTTTTTGATGTTTCCAAAGAATTATACGTTTTATTAAAAAAACATGTGTTTTCATTAGTTTTTTAAAACTGACCACCTAAAACTACATAGAAATTTTTTTTATTTATTAAAACTAAAAATTTGTTTTTATACATTTGTGAAAAGGTAATAGTAAATAGAATAAGAAATGAGACATTGGTATCTAAAGCCAGTTTGGATTTATGCCTGGTTAGTCAACAATGAAGCCATTATTTTATGTGAGGTAACAAATAGAAAAGTTTAGGGAAAAGAAGAAAAAGTTGTGTATGGTATTTATAGATTTGGAGAAAGCGTATAATAGAGTAGCAAGAGAGGTTTTAAAGTGGGCATTAATGAGAAAAGGAGTCCCGAAAAGGCACATTAATATAATAGAGGATATATATAACGGCACTTATACCAGGGTAAAAAGTGTAGAAGCAGGCACGTAGACATGGGTGGGCCTGGCCCCCCTTAGATTTAATGTGGCCCAGGGCCGGCCCCCCCAAATTTAAAATTCAATTATTTTTATGAATTATCAAAAACGTGCTAGGCCTTAAATACATTGAAATTATTATTAATTTGTGATTACTATTGAGTAATACAGTTATTATTATGGCTGTATTTTCATTTTTATATTCATAGAAAACGTTATTTGAAAAAGATAACGTTCTAGACGTAATAATTAATGGAATAGCAATTACTCCAAACGTGATTGTAGGTAAATTTTTTTTAACTCTGGTCCAACAAATGATTACAAACTACGAAGTATCTGCATTGATTAGAATCTAGTTGATTACAAAATTCGATAGAGTAGATTACTCTATACTAAGATAGAGATAGATACTCTATGAAAATTTTTTTGATAAATCTTATCTTTAATCTGTTTTTTTTTTATAATTTAGTAGTTATAATAGGTAATTTATTTGTTTTTGTTAATTTGTTATTTGCGTGCTCTAAATAATAGTAATGAAAATATGACTAAAAAAAGGCAGGAATTGTTTTTAATTTTAAATAAAATAAATTTTAC